TGGTAAGGTGGTTTTGAATGGTTCTCACACAAGTAACAGTTTTCAGATAGAATTTCAGATACTAGAAGAATACATTCACTATTTTTTAAGCTTTACTAGATGTTATTTCCGGAAGTGGCTGTGCTAATTTTAACTTTGCAGCAGTTGTACAGGGCTGGAGATATGGGAGAGCACTTGCCTACTGTGTAAATGTAAGGCCCAGAGTCACAAAACCAGCACACAGCAGAACATGGTCACTTCTCTTCACGCTGTTGCCAATATGTACCTATCAGACATCTTCAAACTTTCACTTTGGTAAAGTTGAAATAGTATTATTTTGTGACTTCAGTTTTCTCCCACTCACTGATGACTTTTAGCGTTCTTTTTATATGCTTGTTGGCCACAGTAGTCCTCATCAGTGGAAAACCTGATTGTCATTTGTTTGATAGAAATGTATCAATAATTTAGATTTTGCAGTTATCAGACAAGAAGTCTAAAATACTATAATTACTGTGCTCTAGAAAATAGGTGACACAATGAAGAAAGTAGACATTCTTGAAAGAAAGTATTGTAAGTGAAATTAAGAACTAAATAGAAGAATTATAAGAGCAGATTGTAAACATAACAGAAAGTGGATAGGGTGATATAAATTATTCAGGCTGAAATAGGGGAAATAAAGATGGTGATTATAGCAAAGAAAGAGCGTAAAGTATAGGTTAAGGGCTGGGAAAATGTCTTCATATATAAGCATATATATCTGTACATACATACATGTGTATATCCAAGGAGATCTTTGAATGCATAGGAAGCCACACTTACAAGTGTCATAATAAAACTGCACCAGTGCAGAGCAGCTTGTTGAAGGCTGTCCTTGGGAGTGGGGGTAGGAGCAGCAGGTGACCTTTCGTTTGTTTTGTGTAACCGCCCTGCGTGTCCTGGAACTTGCTCTGTAGACCAGGCTAGCCTCGAACTCGTAGAGATTATAGTTTAGAACATGCCCTGCTCACAGGGATACTGAGTTGGAAACTTTAGTAAAACTCAATAATATGGGGGCATTTCTTAAGTAGTTTACCTCTAATAACCCGTTGTGAATTCAAGACAGTGGTAAGATTAGAAAATACTTGAAATCAAAATAATAAAAAATACAATATATAACATCAGGAACTTTGTGGGGAAAATGTGCTTAGACAGAAATTTTAACCAAAGAAGAGTCTGTTTTCTAGTCAGAGCTAGGGAGATAGCTCATTCAGTAAAGTGCCCTTCACACATGAGGGCCTGCATTTGAACACCATCCCCCATATAAGAACCTGGCGTGGTAGCATGTGCTTGTAACCCCAGCACTGGGGAAGCAGAGACAGTCAGGTCCTTGTCCCAGACCAACCAGATAGATCTGCCTATCAGAGATCCCCAAGTCTCAGTATCAGCTCAAAAACCAAGGTAACAGATTAACATCCCAGGTTTACCTCCTCAACCCACGCATGTAAACACGCATGCACAAAGCCAAAAGCTGTTTCTTTGAGAGGAAGTCTGTAGAAAAGCAAGGTTCCCTATCAGTAACAGAATGTTCAAGAGAGAGGGGACTCCAGATCCTACCAGCATATGAAGAGATTAGGAGACTATGAAGAAGTACAAATGAATCTGATAAACAACTCAGGAATTAAAAATAACCATACAGCTGTTAGACAAATCGTAATGGTAATATATACAGAAAAAAAATACTTGACTCAAATATTTGAATATAGGTGAACAGACTATTTAAAAAGTGTTTTTATAAAAGACCACTGCATAATAGCCATGTTCTAAATCTTAATCTATATAGATTTAGAAATTACAAAAGCAAAACTAGACAGTTTATCTCCAATAGGTGCGAAACATGGAAGGGCCACACCCTGGGTTGCTCACTAGACAAAGGTGATTTACTACTTAAGAACAATACAGGAGGGCAGGGCATGGTGGCACACACCTTTAGTCTCAGCACTTCAGAGGCAGAGACAGGCGAATCTCTGTGAGTCCAAGACCAGCCAGGTCTACGTATGGAATTCCAGGAGAGCCAGGACTATGTAGAGAGACCCTGTCTTTAAAAATACAAAGCAATATAGGAGGTAAAGTCATAAGATCATATGAGGAGATGTAGAAAGAATCTATGTGCATTCACAATAGCATGTAGTAAACTAAGAACAAAGAGACATTTCTTAGTAATAAGTGTTTACATTAAATCTACAGAAAGCTTTCTTTAAAATTTGAATTTTCCCCCTAGAACTCCATTTTCTACTGACATTATGTTAGAAATGTTCCAGTATCGTAATTAAGAGAACTAGAGATACATAAGGGATGGTACACGCCTTACCTAGCATGTACGAATGCCCTCAATAGACAAGCTCATTGTAAGTGGAAAATACTCTAGGTCAGTTGTTGTGCACGTCACCTGCTAACATCACAGCTTGGCAACACTGCACTGTAGAGTATTGGTTATTTACCTTCATGAGCCTGAGAATGGGTGAGTAGCTGCCCCCAAGTCACAAGTACTGAGTGCGCCTCCTATAGCATTGTGAAATCGAAGACTAATTCAGGAGTCACTTGTATGTAGGGTCTCTGTGCATAGTTTTTGGTCTTCTGTCAGAAGTAGCTAAGTTAACCAATGTTCTGGGACTATATCAAAAATCAGTTTCTCCACCAGAGAACATTAGACGCAAAAGACATGTAAAACCTCTGGCTTTAGAAGCATCTATAATCAAATAGGAGTGTAGTTTAGAAGTTACTGTTCTTAGCATATAGAGAATCATAGAGACTCACCAAACAGAAGTAAAAGACATCCAAACTTAGTTGTAAACCACCATCACTAGCTGTCAGTACTGTGAAAGCATACAGGAAGAAGCAAAGTTGATCTTAGCTTCATTGTAAGCATAAGTCCAACACGCTTTTGTTCTTGATTTTTCTTTCTAGAAACAGTTATTTGTGTGAAAATTTAGAAACAGGAAGAACTAAATTTTGAAGACGGCCAGAGGTAGATTACTTAGTCTGACAGATGCTAAGATGGACTTTTCTCAGGCACTGGAGTCAAGCAGTGTGGAGTTAGTACATGGGTAGGAGGCAGGGCAGTTCAGTGTATCCACAAACACGTCCTCAGGCACATGGCAGAGGTGATCCTCTAGCACTGGACCCAAAGCCAACTGATCTAAACGATGCTTCCAGAAGGTACTATAAAGAATATCTCCAGGATGGAAAAATGGCTCAGTGGTTAGGAGCACTTGCTGCTGTTCCAGAAGACCAAGTTTGGTTCCTAGCACCCATATCAGGTGCCTAACAGCAGCCTGTAATTCTAGGTTCAAGAGATCCAACTCCTTGTCCTGGCCTCCATGGATGTCTGCACTCACATGCATGCACCCCCATACGTGCACACATAAATAAATGTAAAAATAGTGTCTTCAAGACTGACACAAGTCAGAACAGAGAGGTCCTGCTAGAAAGGAACTGATGGAACATGTGGGCGCTGTTGATGAAGAATTCGGTTCATCCCAAAATACAGAGTAATAGGAAATCTTTGAAATGCAGCACCAATAAGCTAAACGGCTATAGAGAGAAAAACCTCAGATATTTTAGTAAGAACTTTATAGATAAGCTTATCCAAATGCCATTAAAATGTGTTGAAACTCATTTGGAAAAAATGCAAAATAAAATCAGGACAAACCATTATTTGATCTGTCAGAACTGTTAAAAAGAAAAAAAGAATCACTTTAAGTGTTGGCCAAAAATACAGGACCTGGGAACTCTCACCATGGCTGTTCAGTGATGGACTGCCTTGCCCCCAGTTTGGCGATATTCCTAACCCTGCAGTTGTTGTGCATTCCGACCCAGGTGTAGAGCCAGGTGAGAAGCATCCTCATCTTATCATCGGCAGTGTTTATAGGGTAGGGTCGGGTAGGGTGGGGTAGGGTAGGGTAGGGTAGGGTCAGATTGGAAGCTGCCCACAGGCCCACAGCAGAACATAGACTGAGTGAGTAAACGTGTGAGTTGCTGTGAGTGATGTACTGCCCAGGGCAGTACAAAGCGACTCTCAAGTCAGTGTTAACTGAAAGAAGCTCAGCTTCCCAATTCTTCGCAGACCTCAGACCTCTGTGCTGACCTCAGCGCTTTTTGTGGGTTTAGAGGTGGGTAGGATGACCTTTGGAAAGTGTTAGTGACTGGGGGAGGGGGGAGGGCACACAAAGTTATGGTAACCTTTTATGTGTATGCTTTACATTGTAACAATTTAACAAAATTTCCCTTGCATTTAGTCCATTTTCTATTTGCTATAATCAGAAAAGAATTTAGTTCAAAAAGAGAAAGAAAGCATGAACTGGGCATGGTAGCACACACCTTTAATCCCAGCATCAGAAGGCAGAGGCAGGTGGATCTTTGTGAGCTCTAGGCCAGCCAGAGCTACATAGCAATATCTTTCTTTAAAACAACTATCACACATGCGCACACATGTACACACACACACACACACACACACACACACACACATACACACACACACCATATTGACCCTGGTGTCTCTTTGAAGTTCAGCCCTAAAGAAAGACTAGGCCTCGTATATAGAGAAATGCATGGGGGATTTAGAAGCTCCAGGTTGCACTGTATGGGTCTCACCTCAGCACTCACATAGATTCTCTCTTACAAGTCATGGAGTAGCTTCATCCTACAGAGTGTCTCACTCATCTTAAAATCTCTTATCCACTCTGGAAGAATTGTTAATTTTTTAAAATGCAAATTCTTCCACAGAAGGTGTTCGTGCCTCACAGTCTTATGCAGTGTAACTGTTCAGCAAACCCCCGTCCTCACTGACCATAAATTACGATGTCAAAAAGATGGGGGGAGTAAAAAGATTATCAGGAGAAAAGTGGGGCATTTCTAAATATCATTTGACCTAGAATCGCCAGCATATCCTTCTGTCCTGAGTACTGTCCCAGTCTGAAGTCTCAGTCATAGAAATGGGCGCATTCCCGGTGACACATGTCAGCTTTTCCATTTCTCTTAAGAGGGAGCAAGAAAGTCAAATGGCTCGCCTTAAAAAACAGCAAGAGGAGTTGGAGCAGATGCGGCTGCGTTACCTGGCTGCTGAGGAGAAAGAGACGGTGAAAACTGAGCAACAGGAACTGCTGGACATACGGAACGAACTGAACAGGTACAGGTGTTACAAGGCGATTTCCTTCTTGCTAACATGAGTCTTATATAACAGCCTTTCAGTTTGGTCTCACCCCGAGCTAAGAAGGGTACTGTGTCAGATTGTTCAAAGAGAAGATAAAATGAATACACACATGCATGTCTGTGTTGATATGCTGTAAAGAATGTTAAAGGAGTAAGATTCATTTTTATATTACCTACAAATTTGATAAGCAAAAAAAGTATATCAGTCCTCATTTACCAAAGCAATGTTTAACACATAGCATAGTACTTTTTAAATTATCTTAAAGATTTGTTCTTAATTACATGTTTTTATGTGTAGTTGTATGCCTGTGCATGCATGGGTGCCTGTTGAATTCAGAAACAGATGTTGGTTTTCCTGGAACTAGAGTTACAGGCAGCTGTGAGCCACCCAACATAGGTGCTGGGAATCGAACCCCAGTCCTCTGGAAGAGCAGCAAGTACACTTCACCACTGAGCTATCTCTCCAGCTGCTTTAAGATGTTTTGTATGATAGCACATTTTGGAAAGTATGGATCATATTATTTCATAAATGGACAGCACTATCTGAGCTTACAATACAAGTTGCCAAGTTATGTTTGTTGAAAACAAATAATAACAGTACATATTTAGCCCTTAAGCATGGCCTGGAGATGACTTGACAATTGATATTACTCTGTGAGTTCTCTCATTAGTCTAATGGAGCTCTGGGCCCATATTATATTGTTACTGCATATTCATACATGAAGCTGCCATAGGATAACAGATAGACACAGTTGTGCATAAACTGGGCCTTGCTCCCATGGAAGCCACCTGTTGAAGCCCAAACCTACACTATTTGGAGATGGAACCTTTAGCAGCCACTTAGGTGTAGATGAGGTGCTGAAAGTGGAGCCCTCACAAGGGGATTAGTGCTCATCTAAGAGACACTTTCTTCCCTTTCTTGTGTGGGGACGGACAGAGGAAAAGGTAGACTGTTCTAGAACCCTGATCTTGAGCATGCTAGAAGCATGAGTAAATCATTTTTTGAGCTACCCATTCTGTCCTGTTTTGTTCTGACAGCCAAGGCTTCTAAGTGTGCTGTGTTCTTGATAAAGATGTGCTTATCCCTGGAATAAATGAAGTTAGAAATGTTTTCCTTCCAAAATCACTATCCTGAAAGCACAATAGACAGTCAGATAGCAGAACCTTAAACACTATATACTGTTTTCTCGTGTTTACATCTATATGATGGGGTTTCTAGATTAGACACATTAAGAGATTAATAATAACCAATAAAATTGAATAATTCTAACTCTACAGTAAAGTATGAGCATCAGGCATCTGTCAGAATACTTGGTGCTCACCCCTCTAATGATATGGTAGCTGATAGATGGTTGGGATTCTGTGACCAGTTATTTGAACACATACCTTCTGATGCCATGCTAGTCCATCAGACAACTGAGACTAGCAGGCAGGCAGCAGATACAGCTGAACAAAAGGATGATTAATGACCTGGACAGATCTGCTGGGTAGCCTGAGATTCTTGCACACTACTCAGAAGGCTGTGTACTTTCAAACTTAGGAATTACTTAGTTGGGGGCATTTTCTGTCTAATGCTTTTGTGGGTTAGTTGAAAGCACAGAAAGAAGAGCCAGGCATAGCACAGGGTGCAGCTACTTTGATTATATATATGGCGATTCCTAACATGAACTGCTTGACATTATTGTTAATGATTTAAAAAAAAAAAAAACACTACAGGTAAGCCAGGGGAACACAGAGGTCAAAAATAGTCTCTAGAATCAGATGAACTCAGGTTCCATGATATTAGCTGTGTGGCTTTCCAAAAGTGTTGAAGTCTTTCTTTTTAACCTGGTCCTCATCTCTAATCTCATTTCCGGTCTTACTCAGTGAGTTGCTTTAAAATTTTTAAAAAAGTAAGATAGTCATATAAACCATTTAAAACAATCCCTGCTATAGTAGGGCTCAATCAGAGCTACTGTGCTACTAATATGAATAACTAAATTTGAAATTTCTTATACATTAATTCTAATTTCCCTTTAATTGGTATTAGCAGTTATCCTGAAATAGTCACATAAAAATAAACTTTCAAGTATTAAATTCTGTAAATGGAAGCACAGGCTCAATACAGCTACCGAGATATGAAAAACAAAATAAAATTTAGTCTTAAGTGTCTTTGGCAGAGTTTCCAAAAAAATATTTGGTGTCTGCAGCATTGTAGACTTGGAACCCATGAACCACTGACTTAGGACATGACCCATATAGCTCAGAAACTAAAGGTGTCTCTTAGTCATGTGCTCAAGTCTCTTTTGGTTGCTTAAAAGAAGACCAGAGGTGCCTATCAACATGTGAATCATAACGAGTCTTACTAATAATCTTTACTTATCGTGACTCAGAACTGAAACCAGTACATTAGAGACAAATGCAGTGTCCTCTATGGAAGGTGGAAGAAAATCACTGTGGGATAGGAAAGATGTTCAAAACAGTTCACACAGGGAGCCATGGCCACACTTACCGTTGTGACTCCACTGCCAAAGAGTTGGTGCAGCTAAGGACAGTCATAGGTACCATGTTCGTATTCACTGCAGAAAATGTCTCTGGGGTCTCACCAGTGTGTGACATCCTTTACAAGAAACCAGACACCTAGATATCTTGAGTGCAATGGGACCATGCACTGAAGATATCTTGTAATGAATATATCATGACATCCAAATGGTTGGAAGAGAGTTGGGTATATTGAACCTGGAGAAGAAAGCCCTTGGGAAAAGGGGTAACTAGCTGTCTAAAACTACCTGGAGTACTGCCATATTAGAAGGAAATCGGCTTCTCCTCTTGGATGGAAAGACAGAAGCAGAAGCAGTAAGAGGATTAAAAGGCATACTGAGCTCATATGACAAGGAACTTTTTAACAGCAGTCCTGTGGGTTCTGAGACAGGAAGCAAGTGAGTTGGATAGGCACAGCATTTGCCAGGTACGTTAGCAAAGTTTACTGTTGGAATTCTGTGGGTCCTCAGCTACCGAATTTAAATGTTCTATTGTGATCATGACAACTTCAGTAAATACTTGATAGGGGTCATTTTAAAGGTGACATGATTAGACCTGTTGATATATAGTTTGGCACCATGGATCATGAATTTGCCTAGAAGGTCCCTTCCTCCTAAGTGGCTATAATAATGAGCTCAGGGGAGAGGAGATGACTCAGTACATAAGAAGTGCCTGTCATGCAAGCATGAGGCCCTGAGTTTGAATCCCAAGAATACAAGAAAAGAATGCACAGTGGTACATATCGCTAATCCCAGTGCTCATGCTTCTGTAGGGAAATAAAAGGGAGGAGGAGATGAGAATTCCCAGAAGCCTCCTGGGTCAGTTAGCCTGGCATACAACACAGAATAACAACAAAGAGGTTCTGTCTCAAAGTGGAAGCAAGGACCAGTACCTGAGGCTGGCCTCTGTCCTCTGCACTGTACTGGGGCACGCATGGATGTACACTCTCACACTGTGTGTGTGCGTGCGCGCACACACGTAGCACATATATGAATTATGGTAAAGGAAACAACTAATCAGAAATAAGTTCTTTCTCATCTGCAACTGGAAATGTGTTCCACGTCATTGGCCTGGCACTCCTCGGTATTGACGTTTTTTCTAAGATCAGATGAGGATACTTGGTGTCCCTCTTAAGCTGTGTTCTTTAGTGTCTGTTTGTGTTTCAGAACTATTTGAACAAATGAAACTGTTTACTGCCAGTAACATGCACTGTCTGGGTCCAGGCCTCCTGATTCTACTTCCTCTCTCCCTGATCTGCATGTAAGATTAGACACAGAATTGTAACAAGTTCTTTTTTTTTTTTTGGTTTTACAAGACAGGGTTTGTCTGTATTGTTTTAGAGGCTGTTGGTCCAGCCCGGCCTCGAACTCACAGAGATCCGCCTGCCTCTGCCTCCCGAGTGCTGGGATTAAAGGTGTGAGCCACCACCGCCCAGCCTGTAACAAGTTCTTAAAGACCTGAAGTTAACCCTAAAATGTTCCATCACAGGGTTTCGTATTCTTTCTACTGGGAACACCATTATCATTCCCTCTCATTTCCAAGGCAGTGCTCTGTTTGAAATATTGGAATGCCCAAACAGCACCGCTCCTCGCTCCCTCTCCAGCTGAGGTCATCAAAACTGTGACAGGAGACACACAGAGCAAATCGTGCCCTCTGGCCCAGGCTTCCATGTTCTCAGAGTTGATTTGGGATAAGTAATTAGAGACACAAGCTCTTTCACAGGGTGCACTATCCTTGAGTCACTACACTTGCCCCAAGATTGGTTGGCATCCGTAGCTATTTAATGAGTAAATTTAAAGAAAATAGGAAAGGTTGAGTTACAACTAAAGATAAACAATAAGGGATGACTAAATGATGACACATCTAAGTGATGGGGTAGTTGTGATAAAAGTGAAGATCGGGTAGAGTATCAGTAGGAAAGCTTAGGGATGCGGAGATGGCTCAGTGGTTTATAGTGTTTGGTTCCCAGCACCTACGTGAGGTGACCACGGCTCCAGGGCATCTGACACCTGATGGCGACTGAGCTCATGTATATCCACACTCAGGCACAAATATTACATGTAATTAAAAATAAATCTCTTTCTAAAAAATTAAGTAGATGTATGCATTTAATTGAAAACAAATATTCATTTTTATTTTCTCGATAAAGTTGGAGATTATCTTTTTTTTCTTTCTACAGTTTTAGGGTGTCTGTTTGGGTTTTAAGTGTCAGAAACTGAACCAAGGGATTGAAGTTACAGACAAGTGCTGTCTCACTGATAGTGAGCTATGTCCCAACCCCTTGCTTTTGTGTTTGAACCGTCTTGCTGTACAGCCCAGGCTGGCCTGGGATTTGTGGTCCTCCTCGCCCTCCCTCCAAGGGGCTGGACTGTGTTGCACTGTGCCTTACTGTTGTGTTTTTACAAATGGATCACTTCTGACTAGTCAGGGGGTAATTATTAGTTTTTGTTTTCTTCCTGAAAACTCTAGTAAAGCTTGTGAATTATCTTGTAGTTTTTGTCTGCTAGAGTGGCGTTTCTTCTTGACTTCTCAGGTTAAGGCAGCAAGAACAGAAACAGTACCAGGACTGCAGAGAGATTGCAAGTGGGAAGGCGGGCAGCCCGCAGGGCTCTACGCTGGAAGAAGGCCTGGACGACTATTTGACACGGCTGATAGAAGAAAGAGACACTCTGATGAGAACCGGTGTCTATAACCACGAAGACCGGATAATAAGTGAACTGGATCGGCAGATCAGAGAAGCTTTGGCCAAAAACATTGCCAGCAATCAATGACATTTGGGAAATCTTTGCAGATACTCTAGGTGGGATTTTAATTTTTATGTAAAATCGTCAAAAGCAAGGAAAATTACTATTTTGGAATGCTCTTTTTAATTTTTTTATAAGCTGAATTTTATATGTTACTGTGTATATAGTATTTATTTGATTTTACTTACGCTACCTCTCCTAGGCTGATTTCATTTGTAACTATATTTTATTTGCTCACTTAAAATGACTTTTCAGTGTTCTTCAGTTTAATATAAAAAGAGCTTTTCAAAACTTGTTCTGGGAGAACTGGCTACAGTAATTTCCAGCTACATAATTTTTCATGTTGAGCCAAGAGAGTATGTGTTGCACTTTAAAAATGCTGTGTCCTCTTCCCTTCGATTGTAGATATCTTCAAATTGAAGCCAATTATAAATGTAGCCATTTTAAAAACTCATTTTATCTGACCATTCTTTTACCTTCACTGTGGTATTTGCAGTCTCAGGCAGAGAAGCCCTTTGTATGGCATATTGGGTGGCAAATTAGCCGTTTGTTTAAATACATTCCATTCAGATTAAATATAAGAACAATTCAGTACCAAATTTCATCGTATTCCACTTTAAGAATATAGGATAATAGCTTGATCCGGTCTTCTCTTACGGTCTCCCGCTCAAGACCATAAAAGGTTTGTTGTTGGTAAAATTATAGGTTGCCTTTATTTCTCAGTGATAGCAACACTAAGCCATTACAGCTTCATGAATAGAATATGGAAACAGATACCTAATGGCATTAACTGAAAAAAGTGAAGCTGAACTACTGTTTTTCTACTCCCTCTCCATGAGTCTGTTTTCAAAGAGCGAGAGTTGAGGCAGCGCCATGTCCTGCCAGCCTCCGAGTGCCTTTATATGGTGTTCTCCAGAGCCAGCCATCCTCATGACGGCTATACCACCACCTCCACATGACCTGAACTGGTTAATCAGCAAACTCCCAGTTTGGGTTGGGTCTTAAAATACATAGAGTTCAAAAATTCTGATTCCCAAACACAACAAATTGAAGTGTATACTTTAGGGAGTATGTACTAAATATAACTTCAACAGAAGCAAAGTAGGTTATGTGGTAATGTTCATGAAATATATTTCTTGTTTGTGAAATTGAAACCCCTATAGGCATCATATGCTTCTTTAATTAACAAAGTCTTAGTCTTTGAAAGCAACCCAGCAGTAAATAACAGAAGGTACTGGATGTGAGGGTGATGACACAGGTAATCATAGCGGGGATTTGAAATATTAATTAAGGCTACATGTCCCTGATATTTTGGTGACACGTGAATGGAACAAAAGTATTTTTGTTTTGGAAGAAGATACTGGCCCAACACTGGTTCCTCCACCTGTGAGGCCTGGAGCTTTCCAAACACTAGAGGGGGCCTTAGAGTAAACAGAAAAGGACTTTAAAATCTATGTGTGCTTTGCCTTCTAGAAAACCATATTTGAGCTGCTGTAACTTGACAAATAAAACCCTAACTGTGTGCATCCTTGATTTCTGTGGTCTCTTTTTGTTTCTAAACAGTACAGGTGCTGGCCTCTTCCTGTATTTTTGTTTTTTTCAGGTGCCCCTGCTGCACATTTGAAATGGCTTCAAGTGGGGAGAAGCTGAAATGGTAACTCTTCACTCCATCAGCAACAGCCATCGCACTGGTAACTGGTGCCACACACACACACACACACACACACACACACACACCACTTGGTTAGTTGTTATCAGTGCCTGGTATCAGCGACGATATCAGCTAATGAGTGTGTCCCTCTAAAGCCTATAGTTTTCTAGAGATGATACCTGAGAAGGATGCATCATGTTTGCAAGGTAGAGCTAGCATACACTGAGAATCCCTTCACAGGGTTATTCCAGTCGAGCAGATACAGGTGTGTAGGGTGGCCTGAAGATGTCCTGGGGCTCTGGACAAATGGAGGAGGTGACAGTCATCTGACCTATGATTTTTTTCCAGTATTATGTGTCTGAAGACACTTGAGACCAGACTGACTGGTTATTACAGCTTATAGAAAGGACTCTCTGAGAAATATATATGGGCTTTTAAAGTGTGGTCTCACTACTATTGCGTCTGACTTACCTCACATAATTTGTTAAAAAGCTTTTACATTTTAATAGTGTGTGCGTGTGTGTGTGTGTGTGCATGATGTGTGTGGGTGCGGTACACTGTGCTGTGAAGCATGTGTGGGGACAACTATACAGAGTCAGTTCTCTGCCTGTGCCTTTCCATGGGGACTAGGAGTGAACTTGGGGTGCCAAGCTTATACGGAAAGCATCTTCGTCCTCTGAGACATCTTGCCAGTTCCCCTTAACATTTACTTGATAAAATTCATAGTCCACATAAAATTAAAGCACACACAGTTTCAAAGCTTTGTGTATTTACAAGGTTATGCCAGCATCATCACGATTTAAAATATTTTCGTTACCTCCAAAGAAATCCCCTATACAATTTAATTGTTTGCTTTCCTCTGCTGAGCCCCAGGTAACCACTAATCTGCTTTCTGCCTCTATGAATTTGCCTCCTGTAGAAATTTCACACAAGGGAACCCCAAACTTTATATCTATAGTTCAAAGATATTAACAAGCCTAAAGTGTAAGTTTTCCCTAAGTAGTTCCTTTAGTATAAAACATTATCAGTTGTGGAACTGATTGACGCATCCAGAGGGCTGGCATATGAGTAGGCTCAACTATTCTTTTATCCGTCATCTAAATACTGACTCTAACCAGTACAAAGTAGATACAGTAGTTGAGCATCCTGCTGCTGCAACTACACTGCAGATGTAAGGTGTGTGTCAGCCATTGCTGTGGACCAGAACTGCATAGTTGCCATGTTCTATAGAGTCTGTGGGTTGTGTGAGACACAGTCAGCCAGGACGCAAGTCCTGTGAAGGCAGGAACCTCCTTTATCTCATTTTCTGCCATGTGCCAGAGCTACAGTAGTTCTTTAGTTCCACTCATTGTCTGTGGGAGATTGGTTCCAGGAGCCACGCTAATACCAGAATTTGTGAAGACTCAAGTTCCATGTATTAAGTGATGTAGTGTTCACATACAACTGTCGCACAATCTTCCATGTACTTAACTCACCTATAGAAGGTGTATCCCTGAATACACCTAAGCACTGTGTAATTAGTTGTTATGCTTTATCATGAAGTGAACAATGAAAGAAATATCCATACAAGTTTGGTCCAGATTTGATGTTTCCGTGTTTTTGGATTCATGGAGGCAGTCCTTAGATACAGAAGTTGACTGCATTTGCCAAGTCCATATAGGGGTGAATAAAGATACGATCATGCATGTTTTGCCTGTTAAAATTCAGGCTCCCTGGTCCGACTGGCTGGCTTATGAATCTGTGGCATGACTGACTGCCACTTTGTTGATGTTAAGGGATTCTGTTTACTAAATTGGTAAAAACCAAAGTTTTAAAGTCATAGATATAGAAAATAGAAGAGGGCTTTCCAGAGGATTGGGAGTTGCTGCTAAATGGTGACAGAGTTGTTGCTGTTGGTACAGAAATAGGTGAAACACAGTATTCGTTAGCTGTACAACACAATAGACTGCTGGAAATGCCAAGTTCATGTTCTATGTCTTACACCAGTTCAAAAATACCTGCTTTGAGTTTTGCCTACCTTCATATCTCCTGCTTCCAGGCTGAATGGTCTCTGCCCAAGTGTGACCTGTCCAACCAGCCCTTCACACGTTTATAGTACCTCTGTGAACAAAATCCTCGGAACGAAACTGAAAATTATACCCTTCCTGTTGTATAACATTAAAGGCCTATTGTCCTTCAGAAAAACGAAGTAACAAGAAAGACAAAGCAAGAAATAGACTGCTGCTTTTTAAATTTAGCAGGCATTTCAGACTTCAGATATAAATTTGAGAGACTTTTCTTATACATTATCAGTAGTCAGCCCTACATGTAGTATCTTAGATGTAGACCTCTTGTTGGTTGGTGGTCTTAACTGACAATGTGATTTGGCTGGGAATGTCGAATAAAATCTACAATTGCTTTTACTTAGGATTTAAAAACTTAAAACTGATATGTGCACTTTACACTGTATGCTTTGTTTGGCACCCACGCTAGAACAGTTGTGCCTTAACTGATGGGTCATCTGCATTCACGATTGGGAAGACAAAGATGGAGCTCATCCATCTTGAGGTAAATAGGAAAGAGATTTGCTTAAGGACCTGATTTTCACTGAAGCCCAATGAGCAAGCAAGCTTTACAGTCTCTACACAGTGGTTCTCAGCCTCTGGGTCAAGACCCCTCTGGGGTCTTTTAGATATGTGTATATATATGATATTTACATTATGACTTACAACAATAGCAAAATTACAAAGTGATAGAGTAGCAACTGAATAATTTTATGGTTGGAGGGAACTGTATTAAAGGGTGGCAGCATTAGGAGGTTGAGAACCACTGCTCTTATGTAACCTTTGGCATGGAAGCAGAATCCACGAGTGTCAGGAATGTAGCAGTGGGAAGGCCACCCTAGACTCAACACCTTTTTATTTGCTTCTCTGGGGGTTGTCTTGGTGTTTTCATTAGAAATGTTTGTACAGATGTAAGCCCTTCAGATACAATGTGGAGACTTGGAAGTGTAGCTTTCAAACCGAAAGGGCTGGAGATCTGTTTAGGGAGATTAATGTATAGATAAATCATTTATGGACCCAGTCCTAAATGTACAATAGTCCCTGGAGGCCTTTAAAGATGTGGTCACCATATTCTTAAGATTGTAAGAATGTTGTTTAACCTGTCGTTCATAATAGGAACCTAAAATGAGACCCATTCGTCATCTCTTCTTGGAAGCACTTCATCCACAAATTGAAATAGCTTATAAAAATTGGGCAGCATGGCTCTTTCCCGACGAACTTGTGAGCTTGTCAGAAGCAGATTAAAAGTTGGCTAGAACAAAGAAAATATTCAGGCAAAATCGGCTTTGCCATGATTAGGCCAATGCTGTGGCGAGTGTTGATATAGTAGAGACAGGCTGTGCTGTCCACTTTCCAATGCTTCAGCCAGGTCTCAGCAGACCAAGTGAGACCGAAGTCATTTCCAAGACAGTCTAATGAGATTAAAAAGGTTTGGTTACTAAAATTTCCAAATTTCCATTTACTTTCTTGAGAGAAATTCTGACCCTCTAACACAGTAGTTCTCAGCCCGTGGGTTGCAACCCCCTTGGAGTGGGGTGGGGATTGAACGACCATTTCATAGGGGTTGCCTGAGACCATCAGAAAACACAAATATTTACAATTAATAACAGCAAAGACATTTACATTATGACTTATGACAATAGCAAAATTACAGTTATGAAGAAGCAACAAATAATTTATGGTTGGGGGTCAGCACAGTATGAGGAACCGCATTAGAGGGTCAGCATTAGGAAGGGTGAGAACCACTGCTCTAACCTGAGTTGCGCTCAGGTTGTATAAGGTGCAGTGCCCTAGATATGACATGTCAAACCAAGACCTTGAGGCATTAGTATTCAGCACACAGCTGTCCTCTCCCGGTTTAGATCGGAGGAGCTAGTTGAGTGGACTGCTATACCCACCTGATTTGCTTTGAAGAAGGACATTTCAATTCCTAATTTAGATTCCTTGTTGGCAGATGAGATTAATGGTCCTTTCTTGGCTTCTGGCAGAAGTTTGTTTGGGTAACTACCTGAAATTTATAAAATTTGCACAAAGGAAAGAAAACTGCCAAATAAGAAATAGGTGTGTAGAATAGTTTTTAGCAGCACTTCAGCCCGTGGACCTTTTCTTTTTGGTGATAAAAGTTGCATTTGCTGCCACAATCAGATCTAATACCTGGAATGCCAACTTTAAAAAAAATTAAAAATGCAGCTGAAGAAAATCGCACTTGGAAGGCTGCATTTAGTTGACCATCGTTCCCTCTGCCATCAGTTCCCCTTCTTTCTCTGTGTCCTTGTGACTTTGATTATCTAACAAGCAAAAAGGCCTTTGAGGGACCTTAGGAGGTGGCTCAGACAGTAAAGCACCTGCTTCATAAACATGACAATCAGAGCCTGGCACCCCAGGACCCACATACATTAGGGTCCAGAGAAGTCCCACAAAATGACCATGTGTGCAATCAACAAGAGTGCTTAATTTGCAAGCAAAAATGCTTGCATGCAGGGGTGGCAAAATGGTGGTCCAGAGAGAAGCTCACAGGCTTCTTTTAAGCAAGATTAGGGGGAATTCCAGGGAGGCAAGGTTAGTCTGAGGGCTGATTGTTGGGTTTAAACATAAAGTTTATGGGTTGCTATAGGATTGGTTAGTGGCTTAGTGGTTAGGGATTTTCTAACAGCAGGGTAGGAAAAGCCATCTTTAGCTATACTGATTGGTTGCCCCTGAGTTGTGGTCTTTCCCAGAACTGCTTGTTCAGATCCAGTAAACCGAAACTGAGGCCTGGTCCCTGGCAGGGATTATCAGGAGCCTGTCATGGCGTTGGTCTGGCTCTTTAGCCGGTTAACTTTACAGGCCTGGC